TAGAGGGAATATGGGTATCAAGATGTTTAGCATGACTAAGGCACAGATCATAGAGACTGCTGTGACATTTCAGTATGGGGGAAAGAGATATCTGCCATATTGCACCCATCAGCCCCTGTCAACATGGTCAATGATCAGGGATGATGGGAATTGGAGCCCTAAATATTTGAAGAGCACCAGGTTGCAGTAGACAGATACAGCCAATTCCAATGGATATCTGCAAAGTACCCACCCACAAATTAAATTTGGGGTGCAGAGAGAATACATGGCTGTGAGGAACCCATAAAAGATTATGTCCAAGATGTCAAGAGGACATCTTGGAGACATCTTTACATGTAACATACACAACTATGGGCCACTTCAAGTGTTCCACATTACCCAGGGGAAACATTCTTGTGCAGGAAATACTGTGATGCCATTGTGCAGATTGTCTCTTTTAAACACATATGGACGTCTGAGAAGCCACAGCTAATTGGCGGCTGGTTTGTGATAAGATCTAAAAACATGTAGCCCCTTTTGCTTCTGGGCACTGACTCCAAAGAAATGACTTTTTAAATCATCACCTCACAATTTTAGGGAATATATTCCCTTACCATAAGTGGTAGATTCTCAAAGTACCTTTAGATCTCCTTAAGGCAATTAATTTATTAAAAATAAAAAAAGACATTTTGCTAAGTTCCACCTACGCAATAGCTGTAGAAGCCAAGTTTTGGGGTTGTTGTTTTTTTAAGATAAATGGGGCCTTTGTTTTTTGTGGGGGTGGATTCATGGGATCTACATTTACATTGAAAATCTGGATTTAGGGCCTCCAAGAATAATTCCCAGCAGCTTAAAAACATGGGAGCAAGCCCCTTCCTCGCATTTGCACAGCTGTGATCAGCGCTTTAAGTTTTTAATGATGCTGTTCTACCCCTGTGCTCATATGGCTGCTGCTTCTGACTTAAAACCACTCTCTCTTTTCAATCTGCTTTTTTCCTTTGTGGTTAGTGTCATGCACAATCTCATCAAGAGGAATCTCATCAAAAGCCACTTCAAAGACAGTTCCCCCCTTTTTTACAATGGTAACATCATCTCTCATGCTTCAGCAGCGCTCGCATGCACTGGAAAACATCTATGTGTGATGGGAGGGGTGGGGTGGGGTAGGAGAGCAGAGGAAACACTGCATCACGGAGGGAGTCCTTAAAAGGCATCAAAACCAAACTGAAAGTCCGTGATTGCAAATGCTTTCAAGGCCTGGGAGTGGTGGACAGGATTCCAAGGGAGCAGCCAGATGCAAATATTGCTGCAGCTCTCAGTACTGAAGTTATGTCCCCATGGTTTTAAGCACCAAGATTACCATGGTCCGCTATGAGGCGGTCGATTCCCAGGGGTTTTAAAAATTAAAATGGGGTAAGTGGGAAGCATTCACTTGTTTGCAAGTGCAGGATGGATGGGATGGGAGATGCTGGAGTAAAGGGTGTGCTATAGAGGTATCCTTTTGCAATATTTTTCTGGGAGGAGAAGGTACTGTATTTTTTGCTCTATAAGACTCACCTTTTCCCTCCTAAAAATTAAGGGGAAATGTGTGTGCGTCTTATGGAGCGAATGCAGGCTGCGCAGCTATCACAGAAGCCAGAACAGTAAGAGGGATTGCTGCTTTCACTGCGCAGCGATCCCTCTTGCTGTTCTGGCTTCTGAGATTCAGAATATTTTTTTGTTTTGTTTTCCTCCTCCCAAAACTAGGTGCGTCTTGTGGTCTGGTGCGTCTTATAGAGCAAAAAATACGGTATACTATGGTAAATTATAGCATTCAGAAAAGCAGAGGGGGCAGCAGTGGCTTCAGGCCATCCTTCTACTGATCCTACCTTGCAGGTAACTTGGTGACTTGGCTACAGAGGCTCCTGGTCCGGTGCTGCTGCAATTCTTATTATGTGCCACATCGGTACATAATAAGGCCATAGTTTAGCTATGAATGAGGGAGCTCACCTGACTTGCATAGCTGAGACCTGGGTGGGTGAATTGGGTGGAGCAGATTTTACTCAGTTCTGCCTCCAGCTACCCCCAGGGTACTTGGTGCTAGAAGGCTGCTGTGGCCCATAAGACATCTATTCTGCTTACCAGAAAGCCCCTTTGTCTTGGAGTTGGCTTTGAATACCTTTACCTGTTGTGGGAAAGATTGGGGATACTGTTGGTGCTAGCCAGTGGTCTCCTTTACTGAGCTGGCAGAGGTCAACTTGAGTGCAGTGTTGTATAACCCCAAGTCAGTGTTGTAGAACTGGCAACATTCATGCTGAGCCTGCCTTGTCTGGAGCAGCTCGGGACTTCATGGCTGTCCCATGTTGTCAGTAGACCACACATAGGGAGGAGCACACACTTGATTTGGTCTTCACTTCAGAGAAAGTGGGAGGGTGGTCTGGCTATTGGAAGGATAAAGCACATCACCTTGCCTTGGCCAAAGCACTATCTGGTAACGTTTTGGCTTATGACAGCAGTTTCCTATCCCCTGTCCCCTCACAGGAGCAGGGCCGTCTTACCCATAGGCACTAGGGGTGAGGGGCACCTGTGCGCTGGGCTCTCAGGGGCACCAGGCCAAGAGTCCGGGGCCCGAGAGTTGAGTCCGGGGAAGAGCCCGCCCGTCGGTCAGAGTGCCGCGGCGGGCTCTTCTGCTGCGGGCAGCTCTGCACTGCGAGTTTGGAGGCGACCCAGCCAGCGAGACACTGAGGCGGTTGGCCAGCTCCACCCTCCTGCGCGCCTGGGGTTGGGCAACCTGGGGGGGGGGCAGGCAGAGCTTTGCACCCCAGTGCTGCATATGCTTAAGACATCCCTGCACAGGAGGGATGGGGAACCACTTCAGGTGGTTTGCCTCCTGAGATATGTAGAACTAGACAGAATCCTGAAGCCTCTGATTGATTTTCTTTCACCCAAAGCTGGTGATTCTGCTGAGGCGTTTTAAAAATAAAATCCTCACAGGGCTCTGACTTTGGCATTCTGAACCACTGTTTATGTGCTGTTTATTTCATTAATTATCTGATTTTATTCTTCTCTGTGATGGAAATGTTTATCCTGCAAATTGTTATTTTATGATATTGTGCTTTTAATTGGATATTATTATTTCATGCTGTGAGCCACCCAGGGAAATTTTTTATTGGGTGGCTCTATTTAAATATAGTAAATAAAGAAAATAAATAGAAGAACTGAGCTTACATTGCTCCATTGCTTACAATAATGAAGTAGTGTGAGGTAAGAATGGAATCACCTCTCCCTCCCTTCTGCTAGTGGACCAGTTGGACTACAACTGTCACGAAGAGTCGGACACGACTAAACGACTAAACAACAACGACAACAACTTCCACCAACCCCGAACATACTCACTGGCTGCTGCTGAAAGTTGGAGTCCAACAACAACTGGAGGAACAGTGTTTCCCCACCTCTTTATAAACAGAACCTCATGTGCTTCATATGTGAATGTGATAGAAATGTCAACAACTGCCTCAAGACATTTAGTTTGGTTCTCCATCAGTCAAAATCCCAAATGGAAGAGGAAGACTGCAAAACACAAGGTCATCCACCAACTGGGAGCACGAACGCTTTCTGCAAACGAATAAGGAAAAGTCCAATTCACAATTGTCTTTTTGCAAAGACTCCCACACGGCGAGCTCTCTTTGTGTGTTTTCCAGCAAGACTAGAGTTGATAGCCATCCCATTTCCAGAGGGCACCACTCACCCCTAATGTTGAAACAAAACCAACTTTAATAACTTTACTTTATATATACTCCATACTTTAATAGTGATTTTATAACCTATGATAATCAAATGAGAAATTCTTGAACTCGCCAAGCTGTGCCTGTTTTATGGAAGAGAAACTATTGCACTGGATTATATAGATTCGTCATGTATTTCTCCAAACTGTTCTGCGTTGTTATTATTGTTTTTAAAGCCCAACCCAAAAATTCTCAATCAACTAGAAAGTGAAGTTGCCTCCCCCACCCCACCCCACTATGCATATGTGGTGGGATTATTGTCCTTCAAAAAACACACAATTTTTTTTTCTTGTAAGAGTAAATTACAAAGCTAAAGAAAGCCTTGGGGGCTTGGAATTTGGGTAGATTCCATTTATTCCATATGTGTGAAAACTGGACATGGAACAAGATGATCCACAACAACCACCTCTATGTGTTACGCCCATAAGCCTCTCTGATTGAAATCCCCATAAATCTTTTCCATCTATAATCAACTTCCTTGTCTGGTACAGCTTGATTTCAATTTAGGACTCTCTCTCTCTCTCTCTCTCTCTCTCTCTCTCTCTCTCACACACACACATTATTCTTTCCATCATGTTTATACCCACAGTAAAAAGCCAATCTCTAAATACTGTATGTCAAACGACCTTTAATACACACACACAAAAAGTTATTTTCAAAAGAAAGATCAGTTCCTGATGCCTAAACAAGCCAGAAAGGGGACACAGCCATGAAATATGGAATAAACCACTGACCTTTTAACTTTAAAATTGTTATAATATGGTGGAAACATAATAAATATGATAAGGAATGTTCTGCAGATTCTAAACACAGAATCAAATTCATGACAAGAAAAGATTTACCTCCCCTGAAGGAAGGTAAATCTTGCGTGGCATTTCTGCAAAACATATTTTACATACCAATTGTTTTCAAAAAGGGTTCGGTAACATTGTTAACAGAAAACTGGTGTGTGGGTTGTGTGTCTGAGTGCGTGTGTGTCTGCACATGTGTGCGTGAAGTAAGCAAATTATGCACCTATCCAAGTCATTTCATTTGGTTTCTTACAGTGGGCTGATCAGAAAGTACTCTGCCTTAAGGGAGCAGACAGTATAACCTGAAGTATGTATCTACATTTTGATTGCCGTGTACTAACAAATATTATGGTAGTGTCAGTGACATGATAAATCCCCCTGGCAGTAATTGGTTGAACCACTCAAATGTCACAAAGGGATGTGGTAAGCAGGACATAACAGAGGGGTAACCAAAGCTTAAGAAATGAATAGCCTGCAGAGGCAACAGAATGTTACAGCCTCCCTAAGAGGCTACTGCCCATTGGGGCTGGTGGGCCAGAAGCCAAGGAGACCAAAAGTAGATGGAACCAGAGCCAACAACGGATGCAAAAAATAATAATCTACAGATGTAAACCATGGTTTGTACAAACAATAGTTTGCCTGTAAACCAAAACTGGAAACGCTAGTCAAATTATTTGGATGTAACGGCAAGCTATTGTTGGCCACAAAAGTAAAAGTGCAAGAGCAAATTGGTGTGTATGTGAGAGAGGAGAAGGAATTTTGTGAGCCTAAGGCTCATTCAAGTAATGTCGAACTATGGTTTGGTGTTATGTCTAAACAGAGCTAATGCCATGTCTCTGCCAGTCAAAGTAGGCCAGGCTTTCCCTTCCAGATATTATGGACTACAGATTTCATCATCCCTGACCGTTGGCCATGTCCCTGGGGCTGATCAGGGTTGTAACCCAAAATTTCTGGAGGGCACCAAGCTGGGGGAGGCTGGTGTGGCTAGTTTTGAGCTAGATGGACCAAAGATCTGCCATGTATAAGGCAGCTTTCTGTGTTCTATATTTCAAAGCTTTACCCTTTTAAAAGTTAGCTCTGGACTACGTTTAAGCACATTCCACCAGGTTTAACTGCTGAATCAGAGTTAAAAAAACACTGAGTTGCTGAAGAATTGTGTATTTTCAGGAAGCATTTAAGCATTTTGGTTTCACCGAGAAGTGATCAAGGTAGATCAACAGGGCTTACAATCTCTCAAGGCAGCTAAACTCTTGCTACTTTGCCTGCACAGTGGGTGGAGTACAATGGCATGCTATGGCAATTGCTCCATCAGTGCATGCATATCAGCTTGCCAGATGGAACAATTCCCCCTCTCTTCCCACTGTGCACTGCATTGTGGGTTCTCCTGACCCCTGCAAGCCAACATGGGGCTCATAGGGGGCACACAGGGAGGAGGGGAAAGCCCCATTGAGCTAGGGAAGTCCTTGCACAGGCTTCTTATAGCTGGACTCCTAAATTAATCTGGCCCACTCCCTTCAGGCTGCCCAAGCCCATTAAAGGTAAAGGGACCCTTGACCATTAGGTCCAGTCTTCACCGACTCTGGGGTTGTGGTGCTCATCTCGCTTTATTGGCTGAGTGAGCCAGTGTACAGCTTCCAGATCATGTGGCCAGCATGACTAAGCCACTTCTGGCAAACCAGAGCAGCGCATGTAAATGCCGTTTACCTTCCTGCCAGAGTGGTACCTATTTATCTACTTGCACTTTGACATGCTTTCGAACTGCTAGGTTGGCAGGAGCAGGGACCGAGGAACGGGAGCTCACCCCATTGTGGGGATTCGAACCGCCGACCTTCTGATCGGCAAGTCCTAGGCTCTGTGGTTTAACCCACAGCGCCACCCATGTTCCGCCCAAGCCCATTACTGGGGCTCATTAATTAGCAGCGTCCTGAAAGGGAAATCACTTGCCATTAGCCAAGTTTCCTTAGCAATAGCAGATCCACAGAAGAGAGCTGGGCATGTTCTAGGGTGCACTAGGGATCTGAGCAGATGAAGAGTTGGATGCAACATCCCTGGTCTTTACTCTGTGAGGCAAATGGAGAGCTCAGTCCTAGAACTTTCACCATTCTAGAAAACAGCTGAGAATCCTTGCCAGCGCATGGGAATGCAGTGGCAAACATGCAGGGGTTCCTCAGTAGACAAATAAATGTAGAAAAATATTCTCTGAGTGCAGATTGTTTGAAAACCACCAGGATAGACAATATGGCTTGTATTTATATGCCTGCCATATGGCTCTATAGCTCCTTCTGCAAAGCTGTTCTTATTTTATCATCTCCGTATTCTTCAGCAGAAGCGTAGAACTTCCGAATATGTTTTGCAGATTGGAGTTTCGCCGGAAAAGATGAAGGCATCAGCTGAGAAAGCGTAGGCTGGGAGAGCATTGGTTTGAAATCTACCTGGACTGTTTTGCATATGTATTCATGCTACATAATGTGTGGCATTTGATATATGGGACTGAGGCAATCTTCTCTCTGTGGGGCAGCACAGAAACAATCCAGTTTGTCCAAAAAGAGGGACAAATTTGCACAACTCTGCATGGATGGAACCTGCTTTGCTTTTAGGATTTCACTATGAGAAAGTCCCATGTTTGTTTTTAGTCAAGTAGTGTATGCTGACATCTGGTGGCACTGGGGAACCAGGTCTTTGGTAAAGAAATAGAGCACGATAGGCTTTCAGAGGCTCCTGTTCTTCATCCGTTTCTCATTTATTATTCAGCAGTTCCTTTTTTTATTATTGATTTCAGAACTTAGTGCTGCGATGTTAACTGCATTGTGCTTAGAAGCAGTGAACTAGCTTGATGATAGTAAAGAGTAAATTGCCCCAAATCCAACTAGCTTCAGCTGAATGCATGACATCGGTTAGAACAGAATTTTTGCTGGGAAGGAGCATTCAGTTACGGTATATATGAAAGGACTGCACACCTGCAATCTAAAGTGAGACAAAGGATGCTGGGAATGGTAGCTTGCTAAGGATGTTGTGAGTTTTCAGGTGGCCCCTGTATCCCTTGCAGAGCTAAAGTTCCTAACGTTCCCTTGGAAGAGGTGTTGCTTGTGAAACCATTCTGGAAAAGTGGAGCCCTGAACGTGCATTGATAAAACAAGGCAACCAAAGACATCAAGGAGGTTACAATTTCCCAAGTTTACATAAAATTAATGGCAAAACAAAAACCTCTCAACAAAGCCCAAATAATTATCAGATAAGAAGCAGTACAGTTTGAGGAATATATTTATAATACTATTCAAACTGACATTTTAAGACACCATCTGAATAAGAAGGAACCTAACCATTTTGCTTGTTTGACAATCAGTTGTCAAGGTTTACAAGAGATCCATTATAGGACTGTTTCTTGCATTAAATTTTGGATTAACGTTACATTTAAATATCACTTCCTTCACTCCTACCCTGCTTTTGATTAGCTTTAAGAGTAGCTGATGGTCTTGTGACTTGGATTTTTAAAATTTTAATATTTTGTGTACATGGACTGGAATTTTATATGAAATTGTGGGTTTGATCTCTGACCTCTGTTTACTAGAATACTGATTTCCCACTAATTTGATAGCATAGGTCCCAACCAGTATAAGGGTCTACTGTAAACAAGCTGCTCACTTTACATAGCTGTGTTTGGCTCCTAAGTGAAGAAGTATGCATGGTGTATACTTTGGATACTGTAGTCTACTACAGGAATAATAAAAACCACATAATAGCTGTTCAGCTTCACAGGTAGCATACACATTTGGGGGGGAAATGCTACATGACTGTTAGGGAGAGAAAGATCATTTTCATACAGTCAGAACCTATGATTACTCAGAAGTAAGTTCCACTGTATCGAGTTCAATGCGGTTTACTTCCATCCAACTGCATGTGACATTTCAGCCTTAGAACTCAACCATATGCATATTTGCACAGAGGTAAATCCCATTTAGCTTGATAAGCCTTACTATCAGGTAAGCCTTAGTCGCTTGATGGTGGGATGCTTGAGAACTATAATCTGCTTCATTTGTTTGTCATTGAGATCTGTTGCTGTTGGCATTAGCCAAAGGAGGAAAACAATGCAAGGACTAGCCAGAAACAAAGAGCTTTGAAATCTAATATAATCAGCTCTTGAAGAACGGTCTTTTCTCATTCCTTGTTTTAGCTGCACCTTGAGCAGGATGCGGAACCTGTGGTCTTCTAGATGGATTACAGCTCCCATAACCCCTGACCTTTGGCCATGCTGGCTTGGATTGATGGATATTGAAAGCCAACAACATCTGGAAGGTCACCATCCTTGAACTTGAAAGTCAAGCTGATCTTGGTTAGCTCTCTGTGCTTTACCAAGCTCAAGTTCTCTCATGTCCATCCTGACCTTTTGGTTGGTCAGAAGAAGCCCTGCAGGAACCCTTCTGGGTCAGCTTCAGTTCTGAACGTTCTCTCTGCATCTCCTTGCAAAGAAAACAGAACTTCCTTGCCTAAGCCTGTGCAACCGTTCCATCTTTGTGTCCCTTGTGACCTTCCCTTCTATTTCCTTTTGATATAGATTCCCTCCCTAGCTGTGACTTCAGTTTCCAATTAGCTAAAGAAAAGATCTCACAAATCTGACTCAGCTACTAGGCTCAGGTACTAAGTTAACTGGAATCTGTTGGCCAGGTTCCTGATACTACCTGCAGCATAGCTGCCAACTCCCTGGAGCCTTGGGTACCTGAGCACCCACAAAATTCCCCATGAAGGGTCCGGGCACCCACAAATTCCAGTACCAGGGCCATGCAGGCTGCATGGCACTCATGGCCCTGGGCACCCACACTCCTGACCGCACAGATTAACTAGATAAGAGTCAATCTTGTGATGCATTCTAATCAATGCAGGTGTGGAAAAGACCAGGTAATTGATTGCACCTCATGGGATGGGCAGGGACCACCGTCAACAGAAATACTGTTTTTGGTGGCATCAATGTGCTTCAATGAAATGGTAAAAAGGAGGATGCAAATGAAAAATTCTTTCATCCTTTTCTCACATTCTTTATGTTTTTAACCTCTAAGTTTGGCTTGATTTTCCAAAAGGAGAAGAAGGGTATTTAAAACAACGAGGCACTTTAGATACAGCAGCTGCAATGACAGGAGTTTAATAAAAGCTGACAGAACTGGTCCAAGGTAGGACTTTGCCTGAGGTGTCAAATTTCAGGGGCACCCAGTTTAGCTATGCAAATGTATTGGACAGAGAGTATCACTGCCTCCATGTTTAGAAGGTGTACACAGTTTAGCAGTGCATGGGGTGGTTAATATCCTCTCTGTTCAGCAGGCACTGTGGAGTGACATTGGCTGCCCTGGGTAGGAAGACACGGCAAGCTGTACAAATGAAAATGAGAATACAATATCCCGGTCAAGGCTTGATCATTTAATGGGCTATTGTTATGCTCAGCATAAGATAAGGCACAAGAAGGCAAACCTTTTAATATGCCTGGGCAGTAGAAAATGCTGCAGGGAAGGGCAGCCATGACTGGAGCCAAATAGCCTGCGGTTTATTAAAGTTAATGTGACCCTCCTCTGGGGTCATAAGCTGGTTCTCTTAAGAATATATTAACACAGTTTTGAAACTAATCTGCATAAGGTGCCAGATTCAATTTAAAAGTGTCAGAATACCTTCAAGGTTTTAGCAGCGAGGAGGCTGGGACTGAAGTACCTGAACTGAGGTTACACCAATGGTTTGAAGTCAACTTCATTAGTGATATCTCACTGAAAGCAAAATGTTGTCTGATGAATCTGGCAACTTGTAATATATAGTTGACATTGGGGACTTTTAGTTTGTTGCCTCCAGTCTCAGCTGCATGACCTACCACTGACCATTTCTATCAGATCTCACCACCCTATTCAATGAGACTTACTCCAAGTTAACCGTGTAAAGGACTGCAGTCTAAGGGGGCAATACGGTACTGCTCTTTTTGTCTTTCCCTTTTGATTTTGGACTTCCAACCCTGTCTGTGTGAGGACACGTTGCAGCATCCACACAGCTCCCAGGCTCAGCAAAAGCACAAGCAGCATTGCTAGCAACAACAACAGCAACAGTCCCTTCGCCCCCCTGTGGGGGCTCACACATTGGAAATATCTCCAGAAAGCACCAGAGCCTTGTGTCAGCTCTGGTGCTTTCTGGAGATATTTCCAATTCAAATGGGCGAAGCGTCGGTGCCAAATATGTGAACAGCCATTGTGGGGTGCTACAAACCCCACAACACAAATGTTGGTGGTTTTGGTAGATCAAGGCAAAAGGAATATTCTGTTTCAGAACAACATTATCTGCATTAAAGTTGCGATTTTACAGTTTTCTACTGCATATAATTTTGTGTGTGTGTGTGTGTGTGTGTACACTCCTTGTTTACACCCTTTCTACTATTTTCACAGTACAGTGGTACCTCGGGTTACAGATGCTTCAGGTTACAGATGCTTCAGGTTACAGACTCTGCTAACACAGAAATAGTACCTCGGGTTACTATTTGCTTCAAGATGAGAACAGAAATCACGCGGCAGTAGAGCGGCAGCAGCGGAAGGCCCCATTAGCTAAAGTGGCACCTCAGGTTAAGAACAGTTTCAGGTTAAGAACAGACCTGCAGAACGAATTAGGTTTTTAACCCGAGGTACAACTGTATGACTCGTGGAAAATTCAACCTAACCAGTATTTCGAGTCGGTCAGTATTAACATATTAGAAGTGGCTCTGTGTTTCTTGATTTTGAATAACCTTTCACTGACTTTTTATTTAATTTAAAAGAGCACTGAAATGCATTTTTAGATGTTTTTTAAAAATGTATAAACAGAAATATAAACTTCAAAGGTATTCACACAATGGAATTGTAGCCAGGGTGGGAGCCACCATTGTTACACCAGAAGTAACTTTTCTTCTGACTTCCCACCCTAAAAACAAATCTTCCCTGTGAATATACCAAGTTTTTAAAAAGTACAGTACTGTCCTTCTCCAATCCAGAGGTCAATGTGCAGTCTTGCAAATAAGGGTCCTTTTCACAAGTGGATATCCCCATGCACTTTAATGAAGGGAGCAGCCCTATACAAACATCCCTTTGCACATCTGGGGCTGTTGAAGCAACTGAGAAATCCTTTGCAGGTATAGAAGTTCCTTGAATGCATTGGATTTCATACCCCTACAAAACACTGCTGGGTCAGGATTATATTCTTTGCCTTTCATATCCAAGAAATGTACTGGCATTTTCTGGCAGGGAATTAACCTTTGTGTATTTTTTTAAATGTATTGCATTTATTTATTGCTTGAGTGCCACAAATCTCTGAGAATTCAGCACCCAATTTGTGCAGCCAACGATGAGCAAGCTGAGGAGGGCAGAGCTTGCAGGGCAGCAGTTGAAGAAGGAGCAAAAAGGGTTTTCTTGTGTGTGTGTGTTTCTTTGTGGCTGATTAGCTGCTCTCCCTGTGCAAAGGTCAGAGGGGGCAGGGTTTCTGTTGAGGCAGGTGATTAGCTGTGGGAGGAGCTTATCAGAGCTTGCAGGGCAGTTTGATCCATCTTTTAGATTTAGGGGAGCTAGTCTCAAATGTTTGTTGGGGGAGACCTAGATTTTTTTGTGGGGGGAGTTATTTGTCCTGTCTTCACGCTTTTTATGATGGAGGACCGCTGTAGCCACCCCCAACGACACGTTCTCAAGATGGAGGGGGAGGGAACAGCTGCAGTCACCTGCGGTTCCTG